TTAAAAATAATATGAAATTTTCAGTTTCCGTTTATTATCTCCCCAACAGTATTACACAATCAACTCAATTTTGACATATGGATATATTTTTGGAATGCGCAGTCCAAGTTCGAATTTGGTCATGGTTCAATGATTTTTGGCAGAGTAATGCCCCTTTCACTTTGAAAATGATATCAAATTTATAGTTTCTGTTCATTATCAACCCAATAGTGTTACATATTCACCTCAAAATTGACATATGGATATGTCAAAGGTCAAGTTGGAATTTGGTCATGGTTCGATGATTTTTTTTGCAGAGTTATGTCCTTTTCAATTTGAAAATAATATAGATACATCTTAGAAATAAGCAGTATAAGTTGGAATTGGGGTCGTTGTTCAATGATTTTGGACAAATTATCTTACCTGAATGTTGGAAAATTTTGAACTTTCAGTTTCAGCACTCATACTTATGTGGAAATATATATAACCATTATTTTGGCTACAAATATGCAATATTCTATTTTCAAAAGGTTAAGACTGAATAATTTCAGTGCCTTGAACATTGTATAAAATGGTTTGTGGTAATATTGAAAAGTTTTAAGGGCTTCGAACATAGATTGAAACAAAAAAAATTTGTACAAACAAATTTGGAACTAAATATTATAACATTTGAAATTTTGGCTGCATGCGGGGGCATCCGTGGCATGATGACACATTTCAGGTCTAAGAAATACGAAAGTCAATTTTCACAATGAAAGACAATCATTTTCTAATCTACTTCTGCACAAGGAACTCTACCATGGAAGTTGTTTGCCAGGAACCAACCATAACTAGGTTTAAGCATTAATCAAAAGTTGTTAAATGATTAAAATGAAAATTGTTACATGTGGTCGATTTATATTGAGAACGGAATAATGCACCACAGTATTTCAATAAAACCATTTTTCATATTCAAAATTGAAGCATAAGACAAAAGTATGTGTCCCTATATATTTATATATTATAATAGTAAATGTTTGAGTTAAAGTGATCTTTTTATATCAATTGAAGAATGATTGACACTTTAAAAGGATACAGACATTTAATTAAAAACAAAAAAGTGAGAAATACGAGCATCATAACATAAAACTGCTATCTTTTTAACTTCATTGATATATTTTATGTGACAATTTCAGATCGCATTTTTTTCGTTTTCATCGAGAAATGATTCTTTACGAGTCTATATATGGAATAAATTGTGAATATTTGAGAACCGACCTGTCAGTAAGAAATAATGTTTGTTTTAATTGATACGCCATTACAAATAATATATAATGTTGCTGACGTTTTTAGCTTTGCTTTGATAAAAGCATACTATTAACTTTTACAGAAACCAGCATTAACTCAGAAATCATAATTAAAGTATTTTTCGGTAAACCTTGATATATTCTACACATTCTATATTGTATTTTTACGAAGTAAAGTTAAATTGATTTTATGTCTATTATAATAACCATACCTTCAAAAATAATTTGAATACAAAGTTCCCAGTCTATTTCTAATTGGAATGTATAATCATGTGACAAAAAGGGACAACATTTTTGTCTTTCTCTTTTTTTTCTTTTTAACATTACTTATGTATCTCTCAGTTCCCTTATAGAAGACAAAAAGTGCTTGATTTTAATTAAATAACTATGGAAGGAATATTTTTGCTGAATAATGCCAAATTTAATAGCAAATACGATCATACGAGATTTTCAAAGTTAAATAAAAAAATACACGGATATTATGAACAGGCCTTTTTATATTGGGAAATGATTAAATAAGTGTTTTAAGTGGGTAGGCTAAGGTAACATTTTTTATACGTATGAAAAACATTTTGTTTAGAAACAATCACTTTGCTTGTGTAATTTGTTGTCTGTATTTTATTATTTGTTTCTTAACAATGAGCAATAGGAAAACATTTTTCATAATTAGTATGATGATATTATAAATAATTTACAATTTCCTCTTTCCTGAAAAAAGCAATTATAATAGCAAAGTTTAAGTTCAGAAACATATTCATATTTCAAAAACCACAAGGTAAATTTATTTACTTTTTGCAAACATGTGACCTTTAGGACACATAACTGTCCTATGTTGTCAATTTTACAGTTCCTTTTAGTGCACATCACCCATAGTCTACCTTAAAAACATGTACAAATGTCATTTATTTTTTTTATATGTTCAAACCATTATAAAGCTATATAAAATATAATAATTCTTTATGAGAATTGATTTATTTTCCTGATATGCACGTATAATGATACTTTCATGTCATTGTAATAACATAATAGGGTTATTATATGAGTAACTTGATCTGGAACATGGTCAAAAAATATTTATGCTTTCCTCTAAATAAAAATACGTTCTTAAAATGTCCCCGTATATTTCTAAGACATCTAATGACGCAATGATGCGCTTAATAGAAAGTTCTTATTGTATCCCAGTCCTAGGGCTTATATGAAAACTTGGGACAGATTCAATAAATATTTACATCTTTAGAATTTTATTTAATATATTACACTGAGAAAATATACAATATACAATGACCCACGATTCAATCCTCAATGTAAAAAGTTCATTTGCATCGCTTTTTAGAAATTCAACACAAAAGTTATAAATTTGAAAACGAAATTTGTCTAAGTTTTGGTCTTTAGACATATTTAAGACTTTCCATTAAAAGAAACACGTCCTTTTACACGTTACATTTTTAAGAAGGTTTGAAAAATGTCCGCTTCCAATTTATATTAAGGGCATGATGGACTTAACCTTTGATAAATCCTGAAATAAATAAAATAGAGATACATCAGTAATATACCAGATTAACCTTCACGCCGCCATTAACCGTTGCTAAGGATTATCCTAGCTATACCATTAAATTAAATAAGAAATTGTTTTTTATCTACAATGTTGAAATAATTTCTAAAAAATAGCCCAGACGATCATTGAAATAAATTGTCACAATACTACTTTTTATTCAGTCATATGGAAGTATTATTAAAGATAATCCTCTCGCGACTTTTGTCTAGGAATTGTTAGACATATGCTGTCAAGTACGATGACAAACTGTAAGTGTACCGACTTACGGGCATTATCTCTATTACTGCTCAGACAATTTTACTCTAATCGTCGATATTTTGAGAGTACGGCAAATTATACTGAGACACACATACATCAATTGCTGAAAAATCAAAGTCTGCAGTATACAGTATTCTCATAAAAGCTACTATCTCACTAGACATAAAATGTGACATCTTTTTATGGAACTGCATTCTTAACAATTTCATTAATTGAACATATTTTGTATTTTCGAGGATTTAATTGTACGCCAATGATTCGATCAATGTAAAATTAGACCACTTTATTGAAATTTTCCCGGCATAGCCAAGTGATTAACACGTTGGTCTAGTTCTCTTATGATCGCTAACCGTGTGGGTTTTAACACCATCAGGGGCAAGTCGTTATTTCCCTAAGCAAATTCGTTTCTATTATATTAAATATTAACTTTCGATTGTATCTCGAACTATCGAGAAAGATCGTTTCATAAAATAATTGTAATACGTAACCATTGGTTACGATTGCTTAACATTCATTAACAAATGGCGTAAGTACACAATTAAGCAATATTAACAAAAATAACAAAACTGCAGATGGGTCTGCTTGTAACAAAAATAATATTTTAATTTTTTATATAAGAAGTAGGGGAAATCCGGATAAATACGGACGATTTTTGCACTTTGGTGCTCAATAACTTAGAGCAGAACGCATAGCTTCGATCGACATACCAACACAAACTTATTTGTTCGGAAAACTATTTACACGGATATTTAGCATCTCATAAAGGCAGACATGTGTCCGAGATATTGCTAGTTATCAAAAATAAATTACCTCTTAAAACCAGGATAGTACGGACACACGAGTAGAACTACGGACACAAGACGGGGAAATACGGACAATAAATATTTCAAAGGGGGAGGTACGGACACTTATGTCTTTTTAAAAAAAGTCAATTCCACGCGTTTTAATACTCTATTGATCTATTCTAAACATGTACAAATGAGAAAATCAACTTTGCTGGAAATCTCCGCCTGCCCATTTCGTCGTTTTAATGCCCTGCAAGAACAACGTGAATGCATAATTAACATGTTATATATGAAATACATCAAGTATGCTTTTTATATATTTTGGTCTATTTTATTAATACTTTTCAGTTAGTAATTAAGAAGTTGTTAATATTCACATCATATCTTTGATTATTTTTAAGTACAGAAATATGTAAGAAAGGAATAATTTAATATATACTTTATGAATGAAAATAATTCATTATAAGTAGACAATAGGTAAGTACGACAGCATAGGTTAGTACGACAGCATAGGTAAGTACGACAGCATACAAACTAATTATTTTAAAAATCTATCAAACTATTTAGAACTAAATGTTATGTAATTAATGTAGTACGCATGAAAGGAATGAAGAAAGTGCTGAGCGAGTAGGTATTAGTTAAATTACCATAAGCTATGATAGGTTTGTAGCATCATGCACTGGCAGTCTCTACCAACTCTACAAACTGTTTTTCTTCCCTTTTGGTCTTTCTGTTTTCTTTGAGTTCCGATTTTATTTCATTACTTTGTTCTTTCTTAATTCTTTTACTGTTTTGTTTCATTTGCGTCTTGAGTACCCTTTGCAACTTTTGTGTCTGTAGAAGCCTTTTCTCTTCCAAAATCTCCATGCTTGTTAGAAGTTTATGTCCTGTTACTTTTTTCACTCTTGATGACTGTGGACGGCTTTTTGCTACTTTTGGTGTAAACAACTCATCAAGGCATTGACTAACTGACTCGTCAGATTCGATAGGTTGTGGGTTATTATTTTCAAGTACATTTGTGTTAATGGACGACACTTCATCGTAAGGGAATGATGTATCAAGATCTTGTACAAATACATCTCCACTGTTGATCAAATCCATAAGCTGTGACGGGTCACTGATGTCAAGAACAGAACTTTAACCTAAGTCACTGGACGAATCTACTGGACATATCTCACTTGTTGTCTGGGATTCATTGCGTAAAGATAAAGTTGGGCTTATGTCTGTTGGTTTACTTGGCAAGAAGGCACTTGAGGGTATAACATTTCTGTTAAATGGCACGATGCCACAGGCTCTAAATCCAGACATAATGTTTGATTCATTAAGAGCTGTACTCCAAGCCTCTTTTAATAATGCAGGGAATGTCCACTTATTTACTAAGTGTAATGGATGATCATGCATAAATGCAGAACAGTCCTCATTGTATGCACGCTTAAGAGGACCAAAAACAGTTCTGTCTAAAGGCTGGAGGTAATGAGTGCAATGAGGTGGTAGAGTAAGGAGCATAATATTCTCATCGATAGCCCTTTCAATTATAGCTAAAGACTCATGACTGGAGTGGCCATCGATTATCAATAATTGGGGGCGTTCTGGACCACAGTTTCTGAGAAAAAGCTCATCAAACCACTGCTCTCCTATTTCGTCAGTTATCCAACCGTTCTTCTGATATGTCCAAACAGTACCAGACGGACTGGCAGTGGTGTTAAAAGAGTGTAGTGACCTCTTTGTTTTGCCTTTTGCAATTAACATAGGTGGCATTTGCTGACCACATGCATTTACACATGCCATTGCTGTTATGTTAGTTTAACGGTTGGTTGTTTTGCTGACAACCGTGCGTGTACCTTTCTCAGCAACAACTTTCACAGGACAGTGCTCGAAATTGAACCCAGTTTCGTCCGCATTCCATATTTGATGCGGTTCAAGGTTACTACTAGAGATAATTTGACCAAGATCGTCAAAGTACTTTCCAATTACCTCAGCATTAAGCATTCTTGAACGCACTGATGAAAGCTTCTCAGGGGATCTGATAACAAGTTCGGAATGCCTCTTGCGCACACCCTCCCACCAGTCCTTGTCAGCGTGAAAGTCTTTATATGAAGACTGGAGCTTTATACGCTTACAAAGAACGTTTGTTCTAAGCAAGATCTGCTTTCGACTTAGACCTATGCCTAACTGAGAGGCAACTTTTACACTGTTTACTATTTTATCCTCTATATAAGAAGGAAGAGCTGGAGGTCGACCGTGCGTAACAGATAAAGCGTGTTTTCCAGATATTCGATCTGCTATTGTTGACCTAGGAATTGCATAAGCTTCACTAGCTTTTCTTATGCTCATTTGTCCGGACTGTACAACCTCAACTGCTTCTTGTAGAGAAGACTGGTTATACTGCATGGTTTTACCCCTTTTAGTATATACATATTTTTTGGGCATTTCTGGAATAAAAAGCATGTGATAGTGTATGCCACGAGAACATGTGTCGACACTGATCGAAATAGATTAGGAAGAACGGGTTTCCTCCACCATTAAAGCTAGAGAGCCGCAAATAGGCCTTTAGTGTGATGGTGCAACGTTAAACCGAATAACAAGAAGAAAATTATCCATGAAATAGTTACAGCTATGATATTTTAGACAGAGGGACGGACGGACTGGAACAGGCTTTAAAGAGAATAAAAAAGCTGCTACCCATGTCGACCGCTAAACATCAATGCATTTTAACGATCAAATCTTGTTATTGATACCATAAGACTATTTTATTTCTACAACATTAAAGTATATTAACTTGATCATACTTAAACTACAGATGACAGTTGTTGGTAGTAACATTGATATATTGAGTAAGATAAAACAACGGGTATATTTTATCATTTTGTATCTTTAATATTTGAAACGTATTTTCTTTATCTTTATTTTGAAATATGTTACAATGTCTTTTTTATATTAGAACTACATCGAACTCATTTTTATTTCATCAATGATTTTTGAAAGTTGAAAATCTTCTGTTTCATTTGCATAGTAAGATGCTGTCCACACTATACTTCTGTCAGGATCAAATTTTGTGGTTTCAAAGTATTCGTGCAGTAATTTCATGGCACTCAGATCATTATCACATTTGTCTACTAAATAATTATACAGTAAAATCAGGGAAGGGTGCTCAAAAAGGTATTCATTCTCGTACATATAAAATAGGTGATTCTCCACCATTGTTTTCATCTGAAAAAAGTTTTGATAAGCCTGTTATTTCTGCCGTTCCGAGTATTTGAGGAATTGAGTTTGTTCTACAAATGTTCATTCTTCCTAAAATGCAGAACAATACCATATTTAGTGAAAAATTTCGAATCTTAAAAAAGTTGGAAATAATCTGCATGCAAAGCCTCGTTTCATTTAAAAACTTGTTAACTCCTGTCCGTATTTACCCTAACTTATGTAATATCCATGGGGAAAATACGGACAGTACAAAATTGCTTATTTTCTACCTTATCGTGTTATAATATATAAAAAGAGACCCATTTACATGTCACTCTACCCCTGCGAAAACATCAAGACTACATCATACAAGGATTTAAACTTTATTTACTTGAAATCTTATGAATACATATATTCCGAATGCTATAATAGTACGGTGTTCACAACAATTGCTTATGAAATTAGTTAATAGATACCATAAGGTATTAATTTTACCATATCATACTTTGCTCATTGATATCGAACAAGCCACCATTAAAACGATATAATTTCACATTTTGAAATGCAGTCAAGATTTGTTTTAAATAATATTACCTTGTTTTTATATTTATAACATTGAAATCTGTTGAAGTCAATAAGCAATTAACTATATTTGTTTAATATTTCGTCAGAATTAATAAGACATTTTTAAAAAACATGACATATTGTTAACTAAACTACATTTACCATATACATGTACCCACTGTTATTTGTTAATTGTGACCACTAAATTTACGCCAACATATTATTTTCATCACTGTTTACGTCTTCCACTTGAGTGTTTTGCCCGATTCTTATTCTGACGGACAAGCATTCACATCGTTCTCTTTATTTATCATATACGCGTATAATAATTGACACCTGATAGAGTATTTCGTGATGAAATCGTCAAGCAAACAAAAGAGTATTCATGCATATAACCGATAACCCTAAAATCATTGCTTTTATTAATTTTATTCAATTAAGGATCTGGCAGGATGTTATTTAATTAAGGATATTACAAAAACATTTGGTTTAATTTGTTACAGTAATGTATTTTATATAGATATGATGTACAAATATGTATGTATGAGTATGATAATAACACGGTCCAATGTGCCGAAGAGGCAGTTCTTCGAATCAACCAATTTAAAGACAATTACATAGACTTGTTTCCTTGTTGTATTTGTATAACAAAATGATGGTTGCATACATTAAATTTGGATAATTAACATCACCTGAAGCTTTCAGCACAGGTAGATCATTTGAAATATTTACCTAACGTTTGAAAATGAATATAATTAGGTAAAACAATGCACATTCTACTTGTGTTTGTGCTACTTAAAAAAGGTGTTAATTCACTTTCATTATAAACAGACTTAAGTTATCCAGATTTTGTACAAGTACTTGTGATTTTTTATTATGAGACACACACAGTTATATTAGATATTAAATCTGAAATCTAAATATTAAATGTTCCTTCATATGCATTATCACACACATATTTTTTCCATTTTGAGAGGAACAATTAACTTCGCGACAAGTTTTTGCTCTGAATATTTTTGATGAACCGTATAATTGATTTTTCACGAAGCTAGATTTCATTTGTTATTTAAGTATTTCAACGTTTTCCTTTTTGACGAAAAATTTCGACATTTTATATCTTACATGATTTTCACATTGACTCGAAATCAAGGGGAGAATGTCTTACCTTCTTTTCCTTATCTTTTCTATATCTGTATATATATATCTTAGCCACAGCGCTATTATTGGATCTCGATTTGTTTTTTGAAATATACACTATTAAACGTAAATATAAATTTATGTATTACTTTGTACCGATTACTTAAGAGGATTCGTCTATGAACCGTACGCCATTATGCTTAATGCAGATTGCCAATGCGCATGCGCGAGAAATTGATCATAAGGTCGATGTTGCATAGCAACAGGCCGCGTCGTAAAAAAGGTGTTAATGCTATCAACATAATCATTAACTGTATAACTAACCTTCTTACATGATCCATAATATTTGAATTATATGACCTTTCTGAAAAAAACGTAACACAAAAAAAATCGTTTATTATGGAGCAACCATATTTAAGGGCAAACAATTTGTATAGACGATGTTCAACACTAAGGATAAATAGGTTTTAATTAACGTTTTGTCTGCAGGATATAACCACTATATTAGGAAAACATGAGTTCTGTTCAAGGTTAAAATTGCTTAGAGTGTAATTTTATTTATTATTGACATATGCTTTGTGCTTTAAAGAATTGTGAATGAAATGTGTTTTCCATATGCTGTAAACTCGGAACAATGTGCTGTAATTTCAAATTCATTAACAGGACGACTCTTAAACAATGTACATTATTATTTAACAGTAGCATTCCATTTACAATACTCGGGTTTATTTATCAAATACTATGATTTTCATAGCTTTATGTAAAAAGAAAGAAAAAAAAATATATCGATCTGCCTAGATTCCATCAACAATCTGGAGACGAGATGCTTTCATGTTTTGTAAATACATACTTTGTACTTGCATTTAGCTTTTACCGTATTGATATTATAAATAAAGAAATATTGCAAAAGTGGTTTCATTATTATTCTTTAATGATCAATGAACAAACTTTTTGAGGTAACGATATATTAAGATGATTAATCTAATAAAATGTCATTAATCGGTTGGTTTTATATTCTGCTTCGCAATGTAAGTTGGTTTCGGTCTGTAATATTGACCCTTATTGTCCGGTTTAGGCAAATATGACATCCTCTCAGAAACGTGTCTGAAAATCTAAAGCATATCATACAAATAAGTGCATTAGAAAGTATGTTAAACAACAACAAAAACACAGAAGATGCAAACACGTAAATATCCATCACACTTTGATTCTGGAGATACAAAACGTGGCAAGTTATAGGTCATTTAGGTCAGTTGACACACGACACAGTGGTGATTTAAGCTTCAATATTACTGCCCAGGGATGAATCGAAATACAAGAAAATATATTTTTAAAGAAAATAAGGCAGTTGTTGTAATATGAGGCAAAAATATAGTTTGTACTACTTCCTTACAAAACACACACACACACACACACACACACACACACACAAAAAACAAAACAAAAACCAACAACAACACCGAAAAACCCGTATACATGTCTAAAAACGAATTTTATCATCCTTAGATTTAGATACATGTACAAGAAGAGTAAATAACAAACTATAATACTCTAATTTGATCATGCTCTTAATATCGTGAACCTACGTGATATTTTGTACTCATTATGCATGATCGTAAACAATTACCAGAATACTAGGTATTCAAATTTATGACTCATTGTTACTGAAATGCCAAGCTGAAACCTGCGTACAAGTAATTAATCGCCTTTTTTGCTGAAAGGATGTTGCCGCAATATAATCACTGCTGCTGCAGCTGCTTCTTATATCCAAGTGTTTTGTAAGAAAAATGTATGTAAATGACCAAATAATGTTAATATGACAATAAAATGTTTTGAGTTTCATTATTTATGAATAGACGTCCAATCTGATAAATATCTTTTTTTAATTATTAATTGTTGATTTG